TTTATTATTAAAAGCGGTTCAGTGAACTTTCTTAGTGATTCTCTCTAAATTATTTGTATAGATTTAGCGATTTTGTAAATCCATAAGTACTTTAATCTATTTATAAGTAATAAAAAGTTTTTATTTTCGTTTTTTTTTCCAGTAACTTTAAATTACAGTGTGTTATGTTAAATTTTATTTTATTACATTTATTTTACATTATAAATTTGTATAAAAACTTTGCACATAAAAAAGAGGACTGAAAAATCTACATAAAGTGATTAAAGTAGCAAAATAAAATTTCCTTTTTTTTTTTGTTTGTTGAAAGTAATTTGATTATTCGTTTTACTGAATTGGAAACGATTTAAATTGGTTTTTTTTGTTGTATTAAATTTACACATTTTTATGTATTTTTTTTCTGTTCAGATCCAATCAGCCTTCTTTTTTTGTTATTTAATACTGAAAACAAATGAACAAACTGAAGTTTATTGAAGAATTGATTACATTGTGTGGTCAGAATTGCCTATTTTTGCAAGATAATAGTAAACTTTTAGATTTTTTTCTAGGAAAGTGAGGATTTTAATATTATATTCGATTAATCTATCAATTTGGAAGAAGACAGATGTACAAACATTGCACTACATATGAAAATTAAAAATGTCAATATTTATTTAAAGAAAAATATTGAAGTGTCAAAGTAAATTAAGAGTTTATTTTGTGTGATTTATAAAGTTTGTACTAACAATCTCACTTCGAAGATATTTAATGAATATACACACATATATTGGTACTCTTCAATATAAAAAGAATAATTCGGAAACAATTATTTATAATATTATTATGCAATGCTAAATTCCTATTCAGGTATCTTTCGAACAGGACTGACTTGAAAAGTTCAAAAATTTAAGACAACAAGACACTTCTAGCCGGGTTACTTTGTGCTAGAAGGGGATTACATACAAGCGGAAAAAGTAGCAAAGAAAATATTCAGCATTCCCCTAATGAAGTAATGGCAAATTATGAGAGCATTTCCGAATTCTTTTAGGAAAATGGCGTAATTTGAAAATTGTATTAAAATATTTGCTTATTTTTGGGATGTATACGTATGAGGGAAACGCTCGCAAGAAAGAAACGAAAAGTTAACTAAATTTACTTAAATATAAAACAGGAAAAGGAAATTAAAAATTTCCATGTATTTGTTCCCACCGAGCCTGTTTTTAATTTCAATTAATCAAAAACTTAATTAAAATAAATCTTGGATAAATCCTAGCAAAAAATTAAAAATAAAATCAATAATCTGCACTAAAAAGAGTTTATGAGTACACAAACGAATTTTTTTTCTCCAACATTCCAACCAAAAACAAAATTTTAAATTGATTTTTTTTAATTTGTTACTAAATTTTTTTGTTATATTAAAAAATTTTATTTTGGTTTTAGATCCTGGAATTAATCTATTATAATTTTTGGTTTTAATATTTTGCTTGATTTTTTTCCGTTTTTTCAATTGAATTTTTCCGGGTATTAGGTTTCCATAGAGTAGGGTATGAAACATATAGTCTTAGTATTACACTGGAACATATTTAACCACTTAGTGAAGTTTCCCAAATAAATTTCAATGAATTGTGCGAGTAAAATATTTGAATAAAATTAATTTTTCAATTAAAATTCTAATTTGCATAATTTTCTAAAGTATTAGGCTATAAATTCAAGTTTGTGAAATGGTGCAAGTAATAATACGAACACTGTTATGACACACCTAAAATTTAACCAGTTCAATCCTTATATAGCTACTTCAATTCATGATATACTCTATTTGATATTTAAGGTTAACCGTAAGCATATTTTTAATAATTTAATATTTCCATACGTTATCTATTGTAATTTAAGGATATTAAAAAAAATTTGACAATAAAAGCGGATTATTGCCAAAATTGCAAAAAAAAATTTTAATGAATATGTGCAAGTGTATGTTGATGTTTCTATTCAAAAATTTCATGTAAATTATGGAATCCCCATTTTAATAGAAAATGTCCCCATTTTTTTTTGTTCTCGTGCGATAAGTTTATTATTGGATGTCCAAACAGAAAATAAAAATGAAATATGGACAATGAAAACGTAATATCCTTGCAAATTTTTCCGAGTTTGAAAAATAAATTATTTTCCACTTTTTTTTTTTGTTTTTTTCATTAAATAATAAATTTTATTATTAGAATTTTGTGAACAGCAATATATTTTTATTTATAAGGATAATTGGATTTAGATTAGTGAGTGAAGAAAGAAATAGTTTCCCGGAACTATAAATTAATTTATTAACGGTATATATGGTTATTTTTATTTTGTGGTAATGGAGAAGTTTTATAACACCATCAAAAAGTTATTAGTAGATTTATGAAGCATTTTTATGAATTTTTAATTATTTTTGTTTTTTACAAATTGCAGCACAATTTTTATAGATTGAATTTTTGGTTTTGAATTTTAAATGTTTTTTTTTTTAATTATTATGAAATTAATTTTATTTTTAAGTGTTATAAAAACTACAAATTCAAAGTTAATAATAAAATATTCCTGATCAGGCTTAGCTTATAGAGTCTAATGAAATTTCTTTGAGTTTTGAATCATTTATTGGAATATTTTGATTATTTTCCAGCTCTGACAATTTCAAATCTTATTTCTCCAATTAAATATTTTTATCAACAATTCTTTTGTACTTTTATGAGGGTTATAAGGATATGACAGAAACAATGGGGGTTCTTTTGTACTTCTATTGAGCAATAACCTCAATATGCATCTTTCTTACTGCAACAATTATAATTGTTTCTTACATAATTGTAATGAAATTATTTGAAATCACAACATATTTTTTTTGGCACGTTCTTTTAATGAGAAATTCAATTAAAATTTTTTATTTAATAATAATTAGATTTTATAATAATTTTCACATAATTGTTGTGTGTGTATTTATGGAAAATTTTTATTAAATTCAATTTTAGATCAATGAAATTGAATTTCCATATTTTTTGTTTTTTGTATTTTAATTCCTATTAAAATTGTGTTAAATATTGTTTCTCTTTTATCATAATTTGTTTTTAAAGATTTTTCCAATTAATTTCCATTTGAATAATTTTGTTTTAAATACGAGCACTCAATTTTTCATTTTAAATTACACACACATACAAAAAAATTCCTGAAACAAAACAATTTCGACAAAAATTAATGCATTGGCAAATATTTTGTGCTGTTTATTTGTGCAACGTGAGAATTAAAAGTATGTATAGGTATATTATTTAAATTTGCATATTTTTGGGCGCTTTGTTTTCTCATTGTTTTGTGTTTAATGCATTAAATTATATTGTATTGGAAAACACTTAATTTTAAACACAAATGAATACTTTATTCGTAAATATTAAATTTCAATGAATTTTCCATTTAAAAAAAATTTTAAATATTTTTTTTTAAATTTTCCGAATTTTTTTTGTGTACATAATTATTTTTTAATTGATATTTAATTGTTGTACGCATTGTAAAGGATTGCCAAATATTTTTTGTGTTGAATTATTAAAGTTGGAATCATAATAATACTAAGCGATTAACAAAAATAATTCAAATTATGTTTGAAAAATTTAATGATTTTGCTTGTTTTAAATTTTTTGGCATTGCCGCATTGCATACAATAAGGGAGGCACCAAAATGCAGATGTCGAGTTTTTGGTGAAAACGCACTTCTCCATAGCAGGAAAGTGTAAGTAAACTATTTTTATTCACAACTCGGGGAAATCAAGTTCCCTCATATACAAATTCTTAAAACTATTAAGACAGTGATGAAACTATCATTCAAATACTTTGCGACTACTCGCTACTAACTGACCAGCATTGGAATTATTTCAAAGCATTAGCTGAAAGTACCTCTTAGGGAATTCTTATTCAGTTTATTTATTTTGGCCAAATTTCACACTCAAATTGTTTTTCAATACTCAAATTCAAAAGAGTACGATATGAAGTTTGTTTCTATGTATTTCAATTGCAGATTTATTAAGTAATGAATATGAAATTGTTATATTTAATATATTAATAATGTTTGTATTTAAATTATTATGGTTAACTCTATTAAAGTTCTTTAAACAACGCAGGAAATTATCAACTCGTAATATACTATTTAAATTCATTGAAATTGTAATATTGAAATGGAAGCCTTCAGCAATGTCCAAGTAAATATAAAAAAAATGATTGAAATTCGTTGGGAATTAGGTCGAATAAATAACTGCCTTGCATATGTATGTATGTGTTTATGTGTATGTTACATATGTACAAATAATTGACAGGAAATTTAATACAAAACATATTTTCTTTCAAATATTTTATTTATTTTTTAATTATTCTCTTTTATTTCCAATTACAATTAATTGTTTAATATATCGGTTTGCAATAATAATGCGAATTTAAATTATTTTTTGTTAAAGGATATATAAGGATATCTGAGGTAAATTATCATTTAAAATTTGTTAAAATTTTAAATGTTTTCATTTAGTAATAAGTAGCAATATATATATTTCATGAAAATATTAAAGCAGATAACTGCATAATAAGGTGGTTTGTCTGTTTTATGCTTCAAATGAAGAAAAAAGGATCGTATAAAATAAAATTTAATTGTAATTATGAAACTAACGAATATTTTCCATGTAAAAGTGCAAGTATTTAACGTAGAATTTTCCGAAGTATTTTTTTAGTAATTAATATATGTGGACATTATGGCGTAGAGTAATTATGGGTAGAGTTATTCAATTCATTTTTATACAAGGGAGATAATGACTCTCTTAAAATCTTCAATCAGTAATTACGAGCTGGAAAAGTGCATTGAACTGGTCTGTGGTTTACTCAATGAATTATATGAAAAGTATGTATGTAATCGAATTAATACAAATATTATGAAAAAGTAATTTTAACTTATGCAGTTAAATAATTTTAAAATTTATGCCTATAACTTTTCAATATAAATTTATTTAAAAAATTTTGTGTATAACTCACCTTTAACAAATCATTGTGTCGAATATGTGACAATTAATTTAATTAATAAATTCGTACAATAAATCCTTAATATCCTGGAAATAAATGAAAAAAAATTTTTTGAAATTAATACATTGATAAACACTTTATAAAAAAATATTGAGTAACAAAAAAAAATAAAATTTTTCTTTTATTATTAAATTAATTAAAATTAAAAAAATTTTCTATGACAATTTTTTTATTTCTTGTATTTTTATAATTTTTTTAATTAAATTTAATGGTGGTATTGTTTTAATATTAAATAAATTGAATATGTATAAATTACATATTTACAATTAATCACAATGAATATTTAAAATAAATATTGAAATTATAAATCGTTTGATGACCGGAAACGAAAAAAATATTTAATAAATTTAATTAAAGTGAATGTGTTTTTAATATTTTTCACAGTTCATACTATGCAAAAAGTTGTTAAGCTCATTCAAAATGAGATTTATTTTCAATACTACAGTACTATGAAAGGGACAATAAAAATGGCTACATAAATAATATGCCAATCTACTAACAATTTTTAGAATGGTTAGTTTGAACTCGCTTATACAAAGCTTAAATAATGTAGGCTTAATAATTTCCAAGCTATTATCAGATTACTTTAGGAGTTGTATAGTGGCTATTGTAAGAACTCATATATAGCCACAACTAAAATTTGAGTGGGATACTATAACCTTATTATTTTATTTGTTTTTGCAAAATTTCGATATTGTTAATTATAGTTCGCAAAATTTAATTTTTCTACAAAAGAGCTAATAGCTCATATCGAGTTTATTTGTATTACAATAATATTTATTTTATTCTAATTTTTGTATAATTAGTTATGATACCACTAAGCAAAAGTAATACAATGCAAATTGCAAAATCAAAGCAAAAATTAAATTCAATGTAATCACATATTTCAATTCAACAAAATGTGATTCAACAAGTCAATAATTCAAGAAACAATTAATTGGTTTATAAACAAACTGATAGATAAAAAAATCAATAATTTATTCAAACTTAATGTACGTGTATATCAGTTGATTCATAAAATAAAATTCAGTAGATATTCTTTTGATAAATGTTGTATATATGTACCATAACCAAATCACAAAATCCCCACAAAATCTGCAAGTGTCCTCACTTTCCCGGACCAACCGACTGTGGTGTCCTCTAAGTTTTCAGTGACCCGATAAGATAATAACTCTTTACAATTGGTTTACCAATAGTTAATGGGTTGCTGATTCATCGCTGGGAAGAATGCACAGACATTGCTAAATCAACCCAGAATATCGATGTTTATATCTTAAACAGCTATTTCTTAGCGTAAATTTCTATTCTTTTGATTTTTCAATATCTTCAATTTTGATACTGCTAATTCTCACTACCAAAGGGAACTGATAGCTGTGTTGTTATTACTAATTTTCGGAACACCTGTTTTTAAATAAAAATTCTAATAATAATCTAACCACACTCAAAATATTTCTCCAACATCTTTAATTTATCACCTCAACAGTTTTAACGCCGTTTACACTCTTTCTTTAGTACAATTTTTTCTTCATAAAATCCCAATTTTTTTCTCGGAGCGCCAAGACAAAAACAAAAAATAATTGAATATCATTTTCTGTTTACCCATTACTCTTGGAAACAACATTTTAATGAAGCAGCTACAAAATTTCAGAAAAAAAAATTAATTTCAATTTTACGAATTTTCATTCCAAAGAAAACTTTTTTCATTTTCAATAAATTTTATTATTTTTTTTTTTTTTTCATAATACAAAAAACTTTTCCAGTACTTTAGATTGCTATGACTTCAGATTTCTATGCGGTTTTTTTTGTTTTCAATTTACTTTATTTCTAATAATGCAATTTTTAAATAATTTCAAAGTAAATGTCGCTACCACAATACCACCATTCATTTTTAGAACTCATAATTTCTACTCTTACACTTTAATGTTTTATACAAAGCAATATGAAATCAAACACCCAAACCATTATTAATGTATAATTATAATTACTTCATTTAAAGGTATCCTTAAAATGTCCTTGATATGTCTGAACATTATAATTGCATATTATAAATACAAAAGTGAGTGTAAATTTACACAGTGTGTCTAAAAAATTCTCAAATTATTGTTAATAACATTGGAAAAATATTGGAAAATTTTCATATTATTACAGTTTATTTATTCTTATTTTGTATTGAATTCAAATGTAATATGACAAGGATATAAAAGGATAAAAATTGGTATTTTTTTCAAAAATAATCGAATGTCTTGTTGTTCAATAATTGCGCGAAATTCCATCATGTACCAATGATTAAGCGCTAGACCTCAGGAATTCTTTTGTCAAATTTTTCATTCCATTTCAATGCTCTGTACAATGTCAAATATAATTTTCGCAATAAACAATCGTTCTCGGTCGCGATTTCATATCGTCACAAATTTTTATCCAACAAACAAAATCTTACGTTTTATATACATAGATTTTATTTATAATTGGACAAAGTTATTAGACTGACCATGTGTCCATAAATACTTTTTTAAAAATTCTATTTCCATTATTTCATCGCTCTATTTGTTTAGTATTACTCGCACACACACACACGAGTATTATTACAATAGAAATGAGAATGAACTTAAATAAACTGTTTTTGTAACATTTCTATACCAGCAGAAATTTCTATACCGTATTACATTTTAGACATTTTTATAAAATTATTTTTGACCCCAGAGTTATAAATTTTTGGATTGTTAAAGATGAAAAAACTTTTGGAAAAAAAAAATACCGAAAAGGATAACAAATCGGGATAACAAATAAAGATTTACAATTTTTCAGCATGACATAATAAAGAATCAGTTCAAAAAAGCAACATATGTAATACAGGATAATCTTATATGTATTTAGAAAAACAAAAAAAAAATAAAAATAACAAAAAAGAAGTTCAACTACTCGTATAACAAATAACAGTTTTATTACAGGAAAAGATGATAACAACAAAAAGCAAGTGCAAAAAGAAAACAAAATCCTTGACGAATTAAAAGAAAATAAGAGTAGGAAATTACTAGAGTAAAATCATGATCGTAAAATGGTCGTATTTCAAATATAAAAGATGAAAATTTTGTTATGGCAAAAAAAAAATATAATTCTGACTTAAAGGATAATATAAAAGAATATTTGTGTAATTTTTATTTTTTTATTGATAAAGTAAATATGATTGTATATAGAGTGACTAGCAAATAGCATTGCGTACCTGAGTGTTATAAAAAACGGAAGTGGTAATAAGAAACAGTAAAAATTGACATCGAGACATGTTTCATCAAATCACTATAGATTATCATGGTGCTCATCAGAGGGCAAATATTTGTAATTAACAAAACCTGAGGCCATCTTTATCTGCTATTTGCTTAGTTGGTGGTAACAATTAGCTAATAGCAGTGTCGTTACTGCGGTCGATATATTTGTTCCATACTATATAATTGCTACAATACTTTATTTACCGCCACGAAATGTACTAAATCTTTTGTTTGAATTCCTTCTGTGCGCCATTTTTTGTGATATGGCTACGGTTGCTGTTGTGATATTTTTATACAAGTTATCTGGAATCGATAACAAGTTATCTTTCTATTTCTTTCTTTCTTGTTCTGTTTTTTATTTGGTATTTAAGTTTACAATCCCTTAGGGAATTAATTCTTTGTTATTCTAATTAAATACACCAAGAAATTAAAATCATTTTGCAATGCAGTGATTATGTCGCCTCATTTTAGTGAGTTGAAAAAATTTTAAAAATTTATTTATGAGGACACATTTTAAAAGGCTTGAAATTAAAAGTACAAACCCTTAAATAACTCTGTACCTCTGTACTCTGATAAATATTATATGTGCAATCAATAGTTGAAATCAAAACAAAATTGATGGAAACTTGAACTTCGTTTCCCTGTTTTTCTATTATTTTTTGTATTTGTTCTTTTTTCTCATATAAGTTATTTTCAACATTTTATTTTCTTCCTTCTTCAACAAATATTTGATAATAAGGATAATAAACTTTCTGAAAATTTTAGTGATATTTCGGACCTTTAAATAAAATTATTACTAAAAGTAAAATTGTGTGTATATACATGGATGTATGTATATGTTTAAAAAAATTTGTGACCCTTATTGAATTTGTTACCGTTAGTTAGAAAATTTTAAGATTAATAAATAAATTTCAATTGTCAATTGAATGAATTTGTTGAAGTTGAAATGAAAAAATATCCCATCAAACACACATACACTTACCGACATACATATGTACTATGTTTATATGGATGTGAATACTTATATGTCTACATAATATCGTGTATAATATCAATTTATAAATATTTATGTGAAAATCGAAACCTTAAAAGAAAGTTTTTCTTAATAAATCTTAAAAATTTTTACTTTGAATGAAAAAAATAGCCTCAAGGTTACTAAACTACTTCTTGTATATTTCTTAAATGCTCTAAATAAATTTTTTATTTGGAATTGAAGGTCTTTTGGCATTTTTTAGATATCTTAAGGATAGGAAAATTAAGGAAAAACTTAAAAGATTTTCAACATAAAATGGTTATTGCTTGCTTTTATTTTCGTTCATGAATAATTTCTGTCTTATAAATCCTAATTTAGAAATTTCGTTCTCAATTACGATCTATATGACTGTAAAGAGTAAAATTTCTTGAACATTCCGCATTATACTTTTGCCTTTCACGATCAAATTTGCTTGGATGTAATTCAAACATTGTAATTCATTTTATGCAATTTTTATGGGACAACTACATCTTTACTTAATTAAAGTGGATAAGACTAGAAGTACAAATTGCTGATTGCCATATTTGCAAGTAAAATTAATTTTTTATTGCAATATTTGTCGCTTTCCAAATAAATCAATTTATAAGCTCGCTATACTAATTTTCGAATTTAGAATTATAAGGACACAATAATTATTCGAAATTCTATAGCATGAGGTAATCTATGTAAAATTCTTTGCTAATCCTCATATATCTATTCCTCATTTTTTCATTTTTTGAGTTATGATTTG